TTTCCATTGTCTAATGTCTCGAGTGATGCCAAATATTCGGAATCTCTTTCTATAAGATCCGCTAATTTATGCAAAAGTCGACCCCTTTCTGAGGCATCAATTGTACGCCAAACTGATCCCTATTTAAAAACTTCAGATATGATTAATGAATATCACATGGAAATGGAGTCCAACCCTTTTGAATGCATTTCTGGCCGCTTGGACAGCCTTATCGATGTCCTGTTTGTCCCCCTCCTGTACTTTTGCGATCACTTGTCCGGTCGCCGGGTTTATCGTCTCAAATGTCTTCCCACTCACGGAGTCAACCCACGAGTTGTTTATGAATACCTATAATTTAATGTATATTTTAAATTAAACTATAGATACCTGTATCTTTAAGTCCAAATATAGTCTTTTTTATCTAATACTAAGGATTACTTTGAATCCACAAATTGAATTACAAATGATCAATACAGTAGATAATTTTTTTTAGTGTTGCATACTTTTCTGATCAAAGTTTAAATATTAAAGATAAAAATATAAAATTCTATGATAAATACAATCAGAAAATGAAATTTTCTAGCAAACCCTAAAACATAAAATACTATTGAACTTGCTACATATCAATATCTGTATCAATTGATAATTATTATACAATAAATACTAATTTCATCAAACTAGTGTCAATTGATAATAACATTGACTACAGTATGTAATAATTTAATATTTATCAGCTCTGCATTTTATTGTATTATTACTTACATAATTAAAAATTATTTATTGGATTTATAAAAATAATTTCGGTTATAGATTGATAATACAATATATCATTTTTAAAATGTTCAAATTATTTGTTCATATATTAATAAACAGTATATTGAGAATATTTAAGATGAGAATTAGGTAACTATATAAATATAATAAAACATACCTGAGTATATTTAATCTGTGGATTGCGATTAACACTCATTTTACAATTGGATATTTAGATGAAAAGTATGAACGTTATAAATTAACTTATAAGCAAAACTAGTGTAACTGTCACTCGTTAGAAGTAATGTGAAAATAAAAATTATTTGGTGACTATTTATATAATTTATACAAAACATCATTGCAAAGATTTATTTGATATAATTAAACCTATGATTTTGCACCCAATTAAATAGGTTTTAATCATTTTGCACCAAATATTATTCACCAATATACTGTACACAGTTAAGGGCATATGATTATAAA